CACACACACACACCCACACACACACACACACACACACGCCTTTTTTTATTAAAAATCAAAGCTAAACAAAACCAAAAAATTGAAATCCAGTATCACCCAGGCTTCAGGTGATGCTCCGCGTGGGCGTTAGGAGTCCAGGAAAGCTCGCACTGCCCTGAAAGGCAGACGAGAAAAGGAAGGGACGAGCAGAGGAACGTGCATGTCGGCCTGCAGTTCGAAGTCAGTCCCAACACCACAGGCTGGACTTTGATGCCACCACAGGCCTCCTAGCCCCGAAATTTATGGCCCTCACCTTCTCAACGTGACAGGAAACCACTCCTCCCCAACGGTCCCACCCCTCTGTGGCCAAGCGGTTCCAGGAAACCCCATTTCCAAGTGACCTCATGGTGCAATACAATGCTCCCCACCCCAGGGACAGAAGGCGACAGGAGTAGAGAGGTAGGTCACCTGCCTGCCACTGGGAAACGCTGGATAGTCAAGAGGCCCTGGAGTTTGGACCTGCTTAGCTGCTGGGTGGCGGCCCAGGGTTCTGGGCGTGCCCGAGGCGGAGCCAGGTGAGTTCGCTGAGCTGACATTCTTGCCTTTCTTTCAGCCCCGGATTCCTTTGCCTCTGTGGCAGTGACGCACTTAAAAGTGACTCAGTTTCAGAGAAAGGAAATTGGAGCGGAGAGAGGCTGAAGACTGTGTGGACCGGCAGGGAAAGGCACGGGGATGCCCTCAACCCGGTCCCTGCGGGGACTTCATCACGTAGCCTGTCCCGCCTGCTCCCGGCCCCTGCAGGATGCGGTGACCATAGCCTGCGGACACAGTGTCTGCCTACCTTGCCTCCCGCGCACCCCGATGGGGGCCAAGCTGCTGTGCCCGCTCTGTCAGGAGGAAGAAGAGGAGCCATCCCAGGCCGCAGTGGCCCCGGTGCCCCTGGGTCCCCTGGGCGAGACCTGCTGCGAGGAGCACGGAGAGAAGATCTATTTCTTCTGCGAGACCGACGCGGAGCTGCTCTGCGTGTTCTGCAGGGAGGGCCCCGCCCACCAGGCGCACACCGTGGGGTTCCTAGATGAAGCCATCCAACCCTACAGGGTAAGGAGCCGAGCTGCTGCTTTGAGGTGGGCAGGACCGGGACCTGCCTTCCGGGGGTGAGTGAAGGACAAGGGATGCAGATTTGCTGTCTAAAGACATCTCTCAGCCCTCCTCTTCCCTCCTATCTCCCTGCTGGCGCGCACACACACTACACACACTCTTCTGGCTCCATAGTGCCGCCCGGTCCAGTTTCAGCCCTAGATGGTGATACGGTGAAGGTAGAGGCTTTGAATCTCTAGGCCTCAGTGGTGCGCCCACAACACAGAACATGGTATTTGCCAGTTGAATTTTTCACGGGCCCTCTTTCCCTCTGCTCTCCTCTTTCTGACAGGATCGTCTCAAGAGTCGCTTAGAAGCTCTGAGGATGGAACGGGACAAAATGGAAGACAAGAAATGTCAAGAAGACCAGAAGCTCCGAGAGCTCCTGGTAAAAGCCACACTCCTGTTCCTTTGTTTTGTTGTTTGTCTAGGTAGGGGATCCCATGTAGTTCAAACTGGCCTCGGATTCACAGCTTAGCTGATCCTACTGACTCCACCTCCCAGGTGCTGGGATTACAGGCATGTGCCACCATGCCCTGTTTATGCCTAACTAGATATCCAGCCTAGTGGCTTGTGCTTGCTGAGCACCAACTAAATTCAGCCCCATGCTGATCCCACGGGGGTTTCCTTCAAAGACTAGGGAAGTTTGTTACTAGGTTGAGGAGAACTTCAGAGTTTTCTAACTCATCTTTATGCAGCCTCACATCTGGTGTCTCAGGTCATGAAGGTTGGAGGTGGTTCTCCTGCTTTCTAATCCAAGACATACTTTATTCTACTCTACATGAGGAAACTGGGGTCCATAAAAACCGTGCTCCTAACGCCATGTGGCAAAGCTCAACTTCGTGATGAAATGACAAGAACTTGGGTCTCTTGACCCAGCATATCCTCTGGAAACATCACCTTCAGCAGGGAAGCCTATGATGGCTGTTTATTAGTGTCTAGGTTCAGGTTTCTGAGGACAGCAGATGAATGAAGCCTCTAGATTTGGCTGCTTCTCACCACTTCCTTCATGATGCAGTTATCAAGGGGAAAGTACACACTAGGTATTTCTGGTACTTTGACCAAAGAGACAGAACGTTGAGATAGAAAGCTCTCTCTGGCATCTCTCAAATTCCATCAAAACATGCTTCATAGGGTGGTGACTCTGATAACAATCCCCTTTTGCCTTTTCTCTAAGGGATTACTGTGTTGGGCTCAGTATGAAGAATGATTGCCTAGAATACATGGAGCCCTAGGTTCAGTCCCCAGCATAGACTAGAATGGGAGTTCCGATGTACACCTGTGAGTCTAGGTAGTAGAAGTAAGAGGGTCAGAATCTCAAGGTGATCTTTGACTACATAGTGAATTGAGTCTGAGGCCAGCCTAGGATACACGAGACATGAGAATATATCTCAGGAAAAGAAAGAATTTACTACAGTTACTCCATGTGAGTCTAAGGAAGAGTTGGTAGGTAGGTGTGCTGGTTAAATTTTTTTTTTTTTTTTTTTTTTTTTTTTTAAACCAAGCTAGGGTCATCTAGGAAGAGGGGACCCTTTCTAAATGTAGAATTGAGGAAAGAAAAGAAAGCAGTTGAGAAAAGGCTTCCATCACACTGGCTGTATGTGGCAAACCTGTAGGACATTTCCTTAATGAATTACTGGTGTGGGAGGGTCCAGCCTACACAGGTAGTCCTGGTTATGTAAGAAAGACGGCTGAGGATGCCACGGAGAACAAGCCAGTTAGCAGGGTTTCTTCATAGTCTCTGTTTCTAGGTTCCTGTTTGAGTTCTGCCCTGAAGGAATGTGATGTAGAAGTATAAACCCTTTCCTCCTCAACCTAGTTTTTTGGTCATGTTTTACCATGGCAACAGAGAAGCAACTGAAACAGTAGGGTATCCTAGCTATGATTTTTTTTTTTTTTTTTTTTTTTTTTAGTCCAGCGTGGCTCTAAGAGTTCAATATGGTGTCATTACAATACTTGGCTAAGATAACAGCACAGCTGTTATTATCAGGTTTATCTTGAGACCTGTCTCTTCCTACCATTGTATTATTTGAAGAAACGTGGCTTAAAACCGTTTATTCCTTCTTTCTCTTAATAAGTGCACAGATGATCTTTCTGGAAGACAGTTCTGAGTCCTTCCTCATATCCTTGCAGATGCAGGTTGAAAGCAAGAAGCAACAGGTAGAAGCTGCATTTGAAAGGCTGACACAGGAGCTTGGGGACCAAAGGCACCTCCTGATGACCAAGCTGGAGGGGCTAGAACAGCAGATCTGGGAGGAGAGGGAAGAGTACATCACAAAGGTCTCTCAGGAGGTCCACCGGCTGGGCGCCCAGGTTGAGGAGCTGGAAGAGAAATGTCAGCGACCAGCAAGTGAGCTTCTGCAAGTGAGAGACACTCAACAATCCTACCACTCTGTGGGGCAGCAGATGATTTGACAGGAAGGGTGGTACTATGTTGTAGCTGGGAGGTGATTGAGACAGGCAGGAAAGGGACATGGGAATTACCTCTATTGAGAAGAGCTGAGGGAGGGTGTGCTTTCTATGGTCCAAAAGACCAAGAGAATTTCCCAAGGCATGCATGAGGGCCATGCAAAGATGGCTGGGATCAGAAAATCTTGAGTTTAGTGTCAGTTCTTCCAACTATGTCACTTGGGTGAGTCTCTTAGCTTCTCTAAGCATGGGGTGGTAATAGCATTCTTTCATGGAGTTGTAAACCATGTAAGAAATAACCCATGTGTGGTACTCAGCACGGTCCCCAGCACACAGGAAGAACTCCATCAGTGGCTCTGCGGTGGTTACCATGCTGCCCTACTATCTCCACTATCTCTTAATCATGGGAGGCAGAACCCATTGAAGGATACAGCTAAAAATAGAGCAATCAGAGCAAAGGACTGGCTGCAGAGTTCTAGTCAGGAAACATGGAGAGCAGTGGAATACATAGTAAGTAATTAAAGGGCTCCAACACTCTGGGTAGGAACTTTTAGCTGATGTTAAGGCAGAAAGGTCTAGAGTCCCCAATGGGAAAGACCATGTGGAAATTAAGTGCATGTTTTTGCGTTTCATTTATAGGATGCCAGATTCAACCAGAGCAGGTAAGGCCCTTTCCAATCAATCCTGCCTCCTTTATGTGCATCTTGAAGACACTGCAGTCAAGAAGGATGTGGTGTGTCTTACAATGTGATGGGGAGCTGAGAGGAGGAGGGCTTATGCAAAAGCACATAGCCCATAAGTAATGAGAGCCGCAAAGGAACCAGAGCCAGGGCTTTTGCGTGTGTGTTCACAAAGTGAAGTATTTTATATTTAGAATTTAAGTTTGATTTCCAACTTGTCTGCAGGTATGAGATGAAGACTTTTGTGAGTCCGGAGGCCATCTCCTCTGATCTTGCTAGGAAGATTCGAAACCTCCACAGGAAAATACTTGGCCTCCCAAAGATGATGAGGACATTCTCAGGTAAAGGGACTCTTCTACCTTCCATCTGTCTCTCTTTCCTGCAACTTCAAAACCTGGGTTCAAACCACTAAGCATGCCTGTAATGCTAGCACCAGGGAGACTGAGGCAGGAGGATCCCACAGGTTAAAGGTCAGACTGGACTACATAGTGAAACTCAAGTAAAATTAAGCAAACAGCTTTCATTAAGCATCTTCCCTCCCCAGAACTTCCCACAAGACCTCACTCTACTGGGGGAGCAAGTAGAGAGTCATTGGTCTGAGAGTCCAGTAGAATGACTGGACTCTCTTCTGTCCCTGTCCTCACACCATAGCCAGGACACCCTCCTCTGGGGAGTATCTGTAGGAGATAGTCTCACAGATCTTTCTCTTTCTGCTTTCCTCAGAAAACTTGATACATCACCTGGAAACGGATTCAGGTAATCAGCGAGGGCTCTGGGCTACCCCCACCCCTGCCATTTATCCATTCTACCCATGGTCACAAACAGCAATGAACTGCTCACCTGGATCCTGATTGCTTGGGGTCTTGAGTCTATTAAGCTTTTTCTCTCCACCATAAAATGTAAATAGTAACAGGAGCTACACTATAAATCCATGTGAGGATTAAATAATATATACAAAGAACTCAGCACAGTACTGGACACACAGTGATTGATTAATGTTGTCAGTTACTGTATATTCACTCAAAATATGTGTTAAGCCCAAGCTTTGCCTAGAATTATGCTAGAATAATAAAATCTCCATAGATTTGAACAAATATTGTAATATATATATATATTCTCCAGCATTTTGCTGGGTGTGGTGGCACATAGGTACACTCCCAGAACTAGAGGCAGTCAGACCGATTGCCACAAGTTCGGGATGGCCAGCCTCAGCTACTGACACTCTTTGGGGTGGGGAGATGGATAAGGCTGGGCTCTAGGGCTGTATTAACAGCTTTCTGCTAGAGCTTGCTTGCTTAGAATGCATGAAGCCCCAGTATTACAAAAAAGGGACTGGGAGAGGAGGGGGAAGGACAAAAATAGCATTTACTTTCAAATTGGAGCTTAACTGTTGTCCCACAAGCACTTGCCTGATCATACATTGATCCCTATTTCTTTAACTTACTGCAGAAACGCCATCCAGACATCTGATTGAAACACAGGCTCTTGTTTAGGCAGTCTATATCGGGGCCCGAGATTCTTTTAACAAGCTCCTAGGCACTGTGCTGTGGTCTGGCCACCTCACTTTAAGAAGCAAATTCTCAGGCAGAGCTGTCACAGCTGTCCTCCAGAATCAGAGGCCTAAGAAGCAGGCAGCATGGTCAGCGCTCCATCCTGGAAGTGTGCGTGAGGCAACTCGGGACCCTCAGACTACAAACCAGAGCCTGGTCCACTTCGGAGACTTAATGTCTACCCGAGTGTCAGCTGCACCACAGGAGTGGCCCCTGAAGTGGCCAGGGTGAGGAGAGAGCAGGCCCTAGACACCAAGGACAGCGTTCTTGCTCCAGCTGGACAGCACCCACCTGTCTTGAACCAAGAGACACAGCTCTTCAGTGTAGACGTGGCCCTGGACTACCAGACAGGGTGAGAGACCCTGCAAATGTGTCATACCGGGGCACCAATTGCCATCTCTCTCTCTACTCCTACCTCACCTGGAAACCAGTTCCTGCCTGACTTTGAGTGAGGTGGAGACAAGGAAGTGTGGCAGAGACACCAGTACCCTGGAACCCAGTTCTGTCCCTAGTATTCAAAAACAAGATTGGAATTTAGTGTCTTGGAATCTTGCACAATGTTTTGTTTTGTTTTTTGTTTTTTTTACATATATATTTATGTGTCGAGTAAATTCAACTCCTTGCAGTCCTGTAGTTGGACATGGTATTACCTCTGAACCAGAGGCAGGCAAGGAAGGCTACAACCTAGACACCAGTAAGCTATGAGCCAATGGGATATAAGGGAAAACACAAAAACCTGTAAGAGCCGCCTCAAATCGATCAGGGTAGGGAAGCCAGGACTCTGGCTTCTGCTAATTTATAGTGGCTTTTGGACAAAGCAGGATAAACTTTGGAGCCTCATCAACTCTGGGTGGAGCCCAAAGCCCTCTCAGGTCATTTACCCAGGTTTCAAATGTCCTAATAAAGTATGTGACCCACAGGCCTTTGTGTTTTGTGTCATCTAATCTGTCTATTTTGACAACTTGGAGCTAGGATGGGCAAGAATTCTGATGTTAAAGGCCTTTGAATGACCCCCTGTTAAATGACTGGCCCCCAGGGTGGAATGTTTTTAGGTCACTGGGGTGTGCTCTGGAAAGGGGCTATAGGAGCCTGGTTCATTCTGTTTCCCAATGGATGAGATGTATGCCTGCCAGGATACGTGGCCATGACAAAAGCCAAAAGCATTGAGACCACCGATCATGGATTACACCTTCAGAGCTGTGAGCCAAAATGAACCTTTTCCTAGGCTGCTTCCGGTATTTAAAAAAAATTTTTTTCCCTTCTCCTAGGTGCCGCAGCATAAGCCTTTAAATCTCACCCAGAGAGTCTGAGGCCAGCCATGTCTACAAAGTGAGTTCCAGGCTAGGTAGTCCCTTAATTTTATGTATGTATGTATGTATGTATGTATGTTTTTGTGTGTGTGCAAGCACATGTGCATGTGTGTGTTCAAATGTGGAACGTGCTAGTACGTGGAGTAAAGATATACATAAGACTTCCAAACCCCTTTGTAAAATAGAAACAGGTCACAGAGAAAGATCTTGAGGCAGAGTGCCCTATGAGAATTCTGAATAACAGGAGCTTAAGGCAGTAAAGCAACCAATCCTCTGACATTCTGAAGGAAAACTATTCTGAAGTGTACAAGTGAGATAAACACTTCTAGACACTGAAGATTTATATATAAAAAAAATCGACTTCCACATTCACCTCAGGAAGTTATTACATAATGTGTGACCCAAACACAGTAAATTGGGAGAGGAAACATGGGGTTCAGAAACAGGACCATGGCTGGGGATGTAGCTGAGGGAAGTGCTTGCCTAGGATGCATGAGACCCTGGAACTAGGCATAGTGGCACCTACCCGAAATCTCAGAATTTGGAAGGTAGAGGCAGGAAGTTTAAGGTCAACTTCAGCCACATAATGAAACTGAGGTTAGCCTGGGCTATAGGGCCCAGGAAGGGGGTCGATTCAGAATCCCCATTCTGATGACAATAGGGGATCTAAAAAGGGAGCAGTCAATTCAGGTTCAAGGTCACTTCAGAGGCATCAAGATAAAAACAGAGACAGCACCAGAGGACTGTCTTGAGATTTCTGATCACCGAAAAGAACTTGTAGTTTATTTAGTAATAAAGACACAGGAAATAAGAGAAGAGGGATAATTAACTCCAGGAAAGACAAAAAGTTGGTGAGGGAGCCACTGTTGTATATACCAGTGACTCAGCAGCATGTGATATATTCATATAGTGCTCAGTCTTGAGACAGGGTGGTGACTCTAAGGCCACCAAGATCCAGTGTCTGGGTGCAGCCTCTCAGGAGCAAAGAGGAGCTTAACACTTGGACAGGCAGAGGAAACATGGAATGTTTGAGGATAAAAAGAGGGTTTTGGCTAAGCAGGAGCTGGTGTTCAACTGTGGGCACTGGGTGACTGGACCAAGGGGCTGGTGCTGGGTCAGCAGCGAGACACTGCAGGCCCTCTCTCCACAGTAAGACCTGGGATGGGGATTCTCAAGATTCCCCATGATCCTGTCTTCCCTTCTCCAATCCATCTAAGTAAGTGATCTGGACACCCCTTGGTGCCAACAACAGAGGCCTAAAGCTATCCCGGAGACAAGGCTGGAGACTCTGAGGCAGGGGTAGTTCTGACCTCTTGGGTATTAGTCTCTGTGTTTTTAGAACCACTGATCAAGAGCAAGATGTTGGGATTGTTTAAAAAAACTCCCCTCACAAGGACTAATCTGCAGAGGTAATTTATTGACTAAAGCTGCTGCCTGAATCACAGTACCTAGATGCTTTTGGAGACACAGATGGCCCTGGGGCATCCCACTCCTCAGCTCTAGGTTTGGAGGCCATGAGCTTTGCTAACCACACCAGGAGATGATTCCACCAGCACTCCAGAACACAAACTCACACAGCCATGGAAACTGTTCATCCCTGCTTCTTTCAGATATTTAACTCTGGTGGGGGAGGAAAAGTGAGCTTAAGAAGCCAGGGAAGGTAGGCAATAGAGTGGTTTCAGGTAAAGGGAACCTTAAATTTGAGAACAGCAAAAATTGCTTCAAGTGTCACTGATGGTCTCCCTCAATACCTGGGAGCACTGCATAACACCTGAACCAGAAAATGCTGCTGCTGCTGCCCCTACTCAACAGAGAACATGGAGCTAAGACAAATGGGTGCTTAGGAAGGAGGGAGTCATTTGGTCTTCAGAGCAGGAGATGCCAGAGGAAATGAGCAGGAGGGTGAGAAGCTACAACAAGAAATAGAGATGAAGGGACAGTGCTGAGAGAGGGCGTGGCCACGGCAGTGGGGAGATGGGTGGCAATTGGATGTAATGTCCCTCTTCTTTCCTCCCCCTGGTGCTTTGGCCAAGAACATTTCTTCACACGGTCTTGGGATCCCAAAGAAAGGAAGTTTCCATGGGTATGGGATCCAGGCAACCCTTCTTCATCTCAGAGTCCTGGAATCTCAGAGAACTGAAGATTCTGTAGTGTGGCCCAGGCCGGTTCTGGAACTCAGGGTCTCAGCAGTAGGCGTGTTCCTGGCCACTTGAGCCACAGGAAGGGCACCAGGCGCCGGGTGAAAGTGGCCGTGAAGGTATAGATGAGTTCCTGTGACTCTGCATTGGTAAATGTCACAGTGCCCCCTTCATAATCCAGGGCGATGCCCACCCTCCGGGGCCGCAGCACTGGGAAGAGCTGGGCCTCGGGACTGGTGTTGGCCCAGATGCCTGAGGAGGAGAGCCGAAGGGCCCACACGCCATCCTCTGGCCTCAGGGAGAGGTCCCCTTTCCTCTTCATAGAGTCTTTGGCCACTCCCACCATGCAGCTTTCCAGAACCTCCTCCTCCTCCTCCTCTTCCTCCTCCTCTTCCTCCCCTAGAGATTCCTCATCCTCATCTGTTTCCCACTCTTCATACCCATCCCCATAGCCAGCCTCCTCATCGTCTTCCTCTTCTTCCCCGTCCTCCTCCTCCTCCCCATCCTCCTCCTCATCCTCTGACCAGCCTTCTCTCTCCAACTCCACTTCCCAGTACACCTTGCCCCAGGTGAAGCCCTTGCTGCCCAACACGCCTGGCTCACAGTCAAACTGCTGGGGGTGCAGGCAGTCACTCTGGTAATGGCTGGTATAGATCACGCACTTCCAGTCCTCGGAAAGCTGCAGGTACCCACTGGCCGACTGGGGGTCCAGGGTGACACTCACTGTGGGACAAGGGAGGAAGTAAGAGTGTCAGTGGTGGGCTGGGAAGGGGAGACCAGTCTCCACGTGCCAGTGCTGCCTCACTGCACACTCCAAGAGTGCTATTTATGTCACAGTCTCTGTGAACTGTGTCCCCTGGAGGCACTCGGCGCACACAGCACAGGTCTGGGCAGGATGATCTCTGGCCTTGGGCTAGCACTGCTGTTTGCTCTCAGAGGACCACGTGGTGAGGTAGATGAGAAAGACTAGAAGTGTGACCTGTGACCTCCAAGGGTCATCAGCACTGCAGATTACCCAGCGGTTAAAAACGTAAGGGTTGGGCCATCTTTGGGCAATACCAGTGAGGATTCCACAGGGACAGTGCTATGTTTACTCACCTGTCTTATACTCCAGGTCTCTCAGGAGCTTGCCTAAGGATTAAAAAAAAAGATAGAAATGAGCTTCAGACGAGCAAACTCATGAACTCATTTCGGACTTGGTTATCAATTATGGGACAGGGCTTCACTGGAGATCCCAAGGAAGAAAGATGCAGGAACTAGAGCTCCTTGGAAGGGTAAGATGGGAGAATATGGAAGTGAGAAGCCAGGAGACCCTCAAGTATGGCCCAGCCTGGTGTCCCCAGTGCTTACCCTGGAACTGCCTCAGGCCCCGTTGCAGAGAGAGAAGTTTATCTGAGAATTCTCCTGCCTTTCTTTTAACCATGTGAGGGATGGCTTTCCCAATCCAAAACTTCTTCCGGGGGTACCTGAAAATGTGACGGACACAAGAACCTGTTGTTTGGCTCTTCCTGCTTTTCTGCCCGTGTTTGTGACAATCATAAAGTGAGCAGGAAAGGTTTGATTATCCCTAATCAAGAGACAGAAAAACTAACCAAGGACATAAGACTGCCAGCAGATCCCACAAGTGAGAACTGTCTACCAGTCCAGGCTTTGACTCTCCCATTGTGCCTCAGATGAAGACAGTGAACCCAGCTGGACTTCAGAGATCACACTGGGAGAGAAGAGCCTCTAACCCTCAAAGACAGCTTTCATGAAACAAGGGCTGCCTTGCCTTTGGCATCCTATCACTCCCCATTATTCACATGGACCATGGTCATAGAAGCAGGGAGAGTAACCATAAGCAAATGAAATTCCTACCTGTTGGCAAAGTCCTTGGTGTCCTGCAAAGGAAGGGAACACAAGCACCAAGGTGAATTAAGTAAAACTACATCTATAAGTCAACACCGTAACAGGCAGGCACATAACAGCAACCCCCCCCCTCCACACACACACACACACACACACACACACACACACACACACACACACGATCTCCTTCCCTAGGGAACTGACAGTCTAGTAGGGCTAGAAATCAATAGGCTGGAGAGTTGGCTCAGTGGTTAAGAGCACTGGCTGCTCTTTCAGAGGATCCAGGTTTGATTCCTTGCACTCACATGGCAGCTCACTACCATCTATAACTCCAGTTCCAGGGAACCCAATGCCTTCTTCTGGCTTCCACAGGCACCAAGCATACAAGTGGTGTACAGATACACATTCACGTAAAAACACCCATACATGTAAAAATAAATGAACAAACATATTATAAAGGCAGAAAAAACTAGAGGTGGCAAGTGACCTGGCCTCTCCAAGGAGACACTTAAGCTAAGGGTTGAAGAATGATAAAGTACTAACTGGGTGTAGACTGATAAGAAATGGGAAAGGGCTTAGAGAGGAGGCAGGGCCAGATCACACCAGGCAGGAAGGGGTGATGATGGTGAATTTTATTCTACGCACAGTGGGATAAAAGGCAACTATCCCCTGGCACCCATTTCCCCCCTCCCCACTTTTAAGCATTTATGTGTATGCGTGTGATGAGTGTGTGCTATACCACAATGTATGTGAAGGTCAAAGGACAACTTGTGGCAGTTTGTGCTCAACTTGTGGGTTGAACTCAGGTGAACAGGCCTGGTAGCAGGTGCCTTTACCTGCTAAGCCATGTTACCTGCCTTTCCCCTCCTTTATAATACTAAACTCCATAAATTCTGGTCTGACATGTGACCAGTCAAGAAACTACATTTCCCACATCCCCCTATAATCAAGTCTATTCACGTGACTAAGTTCCAATGGGATGGGGGGGAGATCAAGATTCTCATTCTTGTTCTTTAAAAAATAAAATTGCTTTCTAGCTCCTCTCTTCTCATTGGCTGAATTTTGAACACAGTGATGAATCCAACTCAAATTGCATGGCTGAGAACAGTATCCCCAAGAAATAAGCCAGCTCTTGGATGACTGCATGGACATCTCTAGACCCCCACCTCTCAACTGCTGCAATGACGTAAGGGAACTTGTGCTCCACATGAGCTATTGAGCAGCAACTAGCAGAAACCCTAGGTAACTGGACACTTGGCTGATCCTTGGCAAATGGTGGCAGGAGGCAATGGGCAGCGGAGGGTACCCTGGCGGCTGTTACGGAACAGGGAGTTGGAGATGGCAACAGGGGGCACAAGAGAGAAGCTGAGCATCCCATGACTGCTTTAGAGCAACTCAAGGTCACTATGGATAGGCACCTTGTGCAGGAGGAAGACGGCGGTGCTGTCTGCGTGAGGGAAACGTGTGGAAGGACAGAGAAGGCGGGAAAATCTCATGAGATGATGCTTTGGTAAAGCTTGAAGCCTCCACAGTTCTCTGTGCTCACTGAGTCTCATCTTCCTCTCATTTATTCCACAAACCTTTGCTAAGTGAGTCCTTGTGCCAGGCAAGCACCAATCTACAAGTTTGAAGTAGTAATAAAAAAGACAAATCCCTACCTGTGTAGAGCAGGCATCCTAGCAGAGGGAAGCAGACAAGAGAGGAAGAAAAAAAATCAACATAATAATATATATATATATATATTATAACATCATACCGTGTCAGCGACAGGTGCTATGGGAGTCAGAGGGTGAAGGGGGATGGGCAGAGGGCAAGTTGGCTTCTCAGGGAGGCACAATTTGGAAAACAAACGCAATCATCACACTGTGGCTGCTAAGGACTACTCCAGAAGGTTCAGGAGCTTTGCTCCAGGGAAACTCAAAATACAGACAAAATCTGCTAACACCAGCATTTTGTGTCACGGTTTTAAACAGAAAACCCTATTTTCTCTCCTCAGCACACCCCACCATGGGAGCTTCAGGGGCAGAGCCCTGAGGTATAGATTGGGGCTTCTACACAGTAGCCACTTCCAGGGTGGATCAGGGGACAATGCTCTCTAGACAGACACTCTGGTGACAAACACCAGCACTCTCAGCCAGTCCACTCACAACTCCTATCTACAGATCCACACACAGAAGAGCTGCCGGGAGTGCAATGTGCTCCTTGAGGGGAAAGAAGTGGGACAAGGGAGAGGAGACAAGTGACCTGGAGGCTAAGAAAAGAAACCTGGAGAGGAGGCAATGCCTAGAGCAAAGGAAGAACACAGGGGGAGGAGGGACAAAGAGAAGAGTGCAGAGCCTGAGAGCAGGACTCCAGGCTTGAGTTGGACCTCATTCCTAACCTGCCCCAGGGCCTGGACCAGTCATGCAGCTCAATCTGCTACAAACAGAGGCCTCCTGTTTATTCAGTCTGTGCTGGGGACTGGCATCACCATCTCTCACCCCCCTGGCTACTGATGTGCCCTGCCACTGGCCTGGAACCTCATTTCCTAGAGACCTTTGCATGTCCTCTGCTGGCAGAAAGGTCCATCACCAGAGTCAGAAACTAGCAGACAGCCCTTTTCCTGGCTTGTAAGGGAAGGACGGAGGGAAAGTACCAGGAGGAGGGGTGTCAGTGAAACCTGACAGCCTGCTCTCACTTCCTGTCCTGAGGTGCCTCTCACACTTGCCAATTTCTCTAGGATGATGTTCCAATGACCAGAAGAAACCCCCCATCTATCTTCATTTGCCCTCCCCTTCCATGCACTGTGGGATCCTGACAGATATAGCTCAGCCTTCCCTCACCTCCAAACCATGTACAGCATGGACCAAATAAGCACCTGCCTCAGCAGCATCTATAATCCTAAGCCCTCAGAAGACTGAGAAAGGAAGACTGCCTTTAATTTGAGGGTAGACAGTATGACACAGTAAGACTGATTCAAAAACAACAAATATCTGCCTTGTTACCAGGAGGGCTTGATGGAGGTCTCACGTTGTGGAAGGAAGATGGCAACAAAGATCTTCAGCTCTACAGCACTTTGAAATCTTTTAGACACTTTTTGTAGACAGTGATTGTTTTTCTAAAGTGATACCACATAGGTGTTTAAGCTTATGTGGGAGTGTCAAGGAGGATAAGACGACTGTACCCAGGTATTTATTTCAGACAGTAAAACTGAGGATCCAGAAAAAGGAATTCCTTCAAAAGCCAGGTAAGTGTGGCAGATCAGGCCCTACCCTGTCTCCCACGTGGGCCCCTGGGTCTCTCACCTGCATCAGCTCTGCAGCCGGCTGCCGTGCCTTGCCTTCCAGCTCGGAGATGACCAGAGTCAACCGACCAAGCTCACTGACGCCCCGGGTCTTGAACTTCTCCCTGCCCTCGGTGAGGAGCTGCTCCAGGGTGGCCAGCTGGTCGAGCAGGTGCTGCTCACGCTTCTTTAGAAACTGGTGGCCCTGCTTAAATTCTGCCACAATGTACTGTCTCTGCTCCTGCAGCTTCGTCTGTAAGGGCAAGGGGTAGTGGTGTGTGTGTGTGTGTGTGTGTGTGTGTGTGTGTGTGTGTGTAAGAGAGAGACACCTGTAGGAATCAGGGCCCACCCAATCCTTTGGCAACTCTTGCTTGAGAATCCTAGTCCTCGAGGTAGAAAGTCACTGGGGTGCTCCTGTTCCCCCCTCTTCTCATTGAGACCAGTCATCCAGCCTGTTCCGTTCACTGCTCTCGAAGCCCACCCTGCCTGACTGCTCTGTCACCATCTGTTCTAGCTGATGAGCACGTCTTGGAGCAGAAGGTAGCCAATGTGTCCCATTAATGACACTTCACCCATGTGTTGCCTCTCTCGGGAAGCTCTGCTTGAAGGATGAAGCCCACGCTCAATCGTCCCCCATCCAGAATCCCTACTACTCTGTATATACTAAGTGCATCCCATCCCTTCCATGTGGGACTGTGCCCTCTTTCCTTGGCGAGGCTGGAGTCCGTCTGAGTCCTCAGTCCCTCTTGGTTAAATGAGGGTGCCAAGCACACCAGGACCTAGAGGTACTCTGTGGACTTGAGTTCTCCCTGGCTTTACCCTATCGCTTTTTCACAGTCTGGCTACACACTGCTATGCCTGACCCCAGAATCCTTCTACTGCCCATTTTCCCAACATACATGGTCCCCCCGGACTGGACCCACTATCAGCCGTCCCTCCAGACCAGTCTTCTGTACTGCCAACAGCAGGCCCAAGTCTCACTGGACAGCCTCAATCAGAGCTTCTCGGGCCTTTCATGTCCCTTTCCTCTACCCTGAAGTTAGTACCCCTGGTCCCCCAACCCTCTCTCTATTAAGGAAATCACATCTTCTCTCATTCTTAGAAAGAGGGCACAAAGTCAGGTTCCTCAGTTCCTGCAGGGACAAGGCAGGCCAACCTTCCCTGTCTCTGGGTAAACCCCAGTTGGCCTGAAGCCAGCCTAGCACCCATACTTTCAAAGGCCTCCTAGAAACACATCCCACCTCCTGGTCCCTCCAGAGAACACACATTTCCTCCCAGCCATGACTTCCACATACCAGTGCAGCTGTAATATCAGCTTCTCCCTTGGCCTGAAAGCCCTGAATTTTTTCTCTGTCTCTCCTTAAGGTGTTCAGGTGGTTCAGGATTTTTTCCTGGGGAAAGACAAGCAGTGGAGAGAGATGAGCATCCTGAGCTATAGCAGGAGGGACGCCAAACAGAACCTCACATCCCCACCATCCCAGGCCTGGGGAGGCCTGCAGTGTCTTCTGCCAGAAGGCTTACTCTGTGTGGCAGGGCAGCCTTCTCCACCAGGACCGCAGTGTGGGGCCTGTGTTCCCGGGACTCGCGGCACATGACACACAGCAGCTTGCCATCGTCTTCGCAATAGTAGTGCAACTTCTCCTGGTGCCGCTCACACAACTTCATGTCCTGCGGCTCTCGGGCCAGCTCTCCTGGCTGCCTGCCATTGTCTACCTTCAGCCGCTCAATGTTCTCTACCAGACTGGCTAGCTGCCACACGGGCCGGATGTTCTCCTTCTTAAAGGGCTTCTTGCAGAGCGGACAGACTGGGCGGCTCCCGGACACGGGACGGATATCACCTGTGCAGCTGCGGCAGAAGACATGGCCACAGTCGATGGTTACGGGGTCCCGCAGATAATCCAGGCAGATGGAGCAGGTCACCTCCTCCTCCAGGCTCCTCAAGGGGGCTGACGCTGCCATGGTGCCCTTAGCTTGTGGGTGTCTGTTCCCTGGGTCTTTCTTCCTCAGAGACCAGACCTGAAATCAAGAATAGGCTCAGCAAAAGGGGAAGAGCAGCATCCCTGCCCAAGATTGTTCAAACTGAGATCCCAAGGGAGCCAGGAGGGGAGGAATCTTCTGTGGCTGTTCTGGGCTGTGCAGGCACCACCATTCTAGGGACACAGAAGCTCAACCTGCCTATCCCTGTGACAACAGAAAAGTCAGGGGTATTTCGAACCTCAATTTATGCATCCATAAAATGGAGGGGAGGAGGGATGGAAGGGCCTACCAGGGATTCTAAGCAGGTGATATAAAAGAATTCTGTTGGGAACACTAAGCATAGGCCTGGTTCATAGAAGGAAATCAGGGAGGGAACCCAGACTCCCGGCTTCTCAGTCTACTGGATGAAACCCAAGTGCTGAAATGAGGTGGCACCAAGAATGCAGGGCCCTGCCCTACCTTGTGGTATACAATGCAGTGCTGCGCAGGGAGGTGGCTCTGCTACGGATGGAGGGAAGGTAACCATGCAGGGTTTGCAATGCTGGAACCGCAACACTATCACTGACGGTTACGAAGGAAGTCCATCAACAAAGCTCGGTAGACTTTGCTGACAAAGATGGTAAATATAGACATAAAACTGCAGCCCATACGGCCCAAGGAGAAAATACAATGCTGATTCCTTAAGGATCTAGTGTGATAATATATAAAATGCCCCTCGGGTGACAGCACTGTGCAAACATGAGGAATTACACTGCTGAGAACATGAACCAAAACACCCTGGGGTTTAGACCTGTGTGTGACTTTTAATATCTATCTATCTATCTATCTATCTATCTATCTATCTATCTATCTATATCTATCTATCTATCTATCCATCTATCTCTCTATTGAAAGAATGTACATACCAATTTGAAATGAAATTCAACTGGCAAATGATGACGTATCGAGTCCCCAGAATGTTAGCAGAAATGCTGAGGGTGTCTGACCTAATCCCTTGGTTTGCTTTATGAGGAAAATGACTGATCCCCTGCTCTCAGTTTAACACACTGCAGAGGAAATGAAAACTGTGGGTCTCCTGTGGACAGAAGCCCTTTCTAGCCACTTGGAGAATGGCCTGGAAGTTTAAAAGCCGGCCAGCTTTTTGTTGTTTTTGTTTGTCTGCTGGAGAGAAGAGGGTAGCTCCAAGGACAGAATTTAAAATTTCCTAGGAAGCATCCCCTTTCACCTCAAATAATACGCCTTCACCACTCGAAGCCCACATTAAACTGGCTCATGCTGGGTCTAGTGAGTCTTTAGATCTCTTTAAGCTTAATAAAAACCACTATGTACATTACAGTGAACACTGCAGGGCATGCAGAAGATCACTGGGTAATCGCTGGAAAAGGGTTAACAGAATTAGATATTGAGGCATAGAGGACACAACCTGACCAGTATTCTGTTTAGAATTAGTGAGGCCCCCTTGAGGCTCAAGGGACTGGGGAGAAAATATAAGCATTCTGCAACTGCCACTGTAACAACACAAATGTCACCAATAGATGTCAAGGTCATTAGCTGAAAGCTTTGGGGCAGTCCCTACAATGCCACACTGAATTATTTACTAATGCCTCGATTTGGGAGAGATCCAGTGGTCACCTTAACCAAGCAACCAAACCTGCTGCCACTAAACAAGAACAATCTGGCACAGATTTCCTGATGAGCAATTATATTAGCTAAGCACCATCACCTGGGGCTAGAGAGCTGCCTCAGGGGTTAAGAGCACTTGCTGCTCTTCCAGAGGCCCAGGTTCGATATATTCCTAGCACCTATCTGGCAGCTCACAACTGTCTATAACTCCAGTTCCGGGGAATGTGACAACCTGCCTCTCCAGACATATGGTACCCCGACAAAATACAGGCAAAATACCACACACACACACACAAAAAGAAAAGTTAAACAAAAACAAACACTACCATTTATGACATTTTCTTGCCAAAAATATTTGACTTGATTGACCTTAATCAAGTCTTTAGATTTAACTTTCAGTTTACTGGAAACAGGCAATTTTTAATGAAACTGTACTAAGTAATCACAGAGAAGGTGCTAATAATAGCACTAAACCACGTCATGGAGAAACAATCAGACAAATCCAGAATTGGGGAATCCACAGACCAGTTGGTCTTTTAAATAGACCAGGGTAAAAATAGTGATGGCTTGGAGGTAAAGGCATCTGTTGCCAAGACAGACAACTTGAATTTGATCCCTAGGATCTACACGGTAGGCAGAAAGAACCAATTTGTGCAAGTTGTACACACACACACACACACACACACACACACACACACACTAAAAAACAAGCGAGTAAGTACAAAAGATAAATCTAGCCTGGATTCTGGCTTCAAAGGGTAGTTATAACAATACTTCAGAGACTATCAAGAAAAATTTAAATGGAAAAAATCTAAATGACACTTACTGAAACTAAATGAAAATCTCTGCTTTTCAGCAATAGATGCTACAATATTTAGATTTCCACAACTACAATTTACATCAAAGTGGTTTCACGAAACTATACAAAAAAAAAAAAAAAAAAAAAAATTGGGGGAAACAAAGGTTTTGGTTTTCTGTTGCATTAAAAAGGTGTGTCATCACCAGAATTGTTGAAACCAGAGTACAGAAAACCCAACTAATGCTCTACTCAACTAATGCTAGGGTCAGAACAACCAAAGCCCATGTTAACTTCAGTCTTTTGTTTCGAGGTCACCATAACCTGACAGTCCAACCCCACTGCCTGGCTACAAAGACTTCATGTTACATGTAAGACCAGAGGTATAAACTCAAAAACTTGAATAATCCAGGCTCAAAGTTTGGGTTCTAGAATCCAATAACAGGTGACCAACAATTTCAGGGCAGTGGAATCTGCCATTTATATGTGCTATTTCACATTCAGGATACTCTTCAGAGGATGCTGAGGCTTGGGCCTGTTAACCACATGCCAAAGGGCATAGGGCTAGAAAGCAGTCCCAGGGCCACAACTGCAGCTCAGCCCACCCTACTTCCTTACCCCAGCACACTGAAACCCGGCCTGAGAGCGAGCAGCTCCTCTGACCAACTCCCAGATGAGCTCATTACGCAGAAGGCTTAGTAAACTGAGCAGAGCTGACAACAGGAAAGGGGTGTGTGTTCCTCAGATCTGGCTGGCAGCATCCTAGCCTTCACTACAAGCTGACTCAAGCATTCCTGTTCAGACAGCACTTTCTGCTTTTCATTGACGGAAGGAGCTCAAGGTTGCAGAATTAAGAGCAAAATGTGTGTGTGTATGTGGAGGGGAGGTGCAAAGGAGGCCACACCTGTTCCCATACCTATTCTGTCTGCCCTCCACAAAACCTTGTGTTTTGTTTGATGAGGCAGAATCTCAGTAGCAAGGAGCTCAGGCTGGCCTTAAAAACTCTATCCTCCGGCCTTTGCCTCCCGGTTACTGGGATTACAGGTGTGTGCCTCTGCTGGGATTCTTAAAATACCTTTGCCAGGTACCATGTTCCCCCATTTTATCCCATATGCCTCCACCTTGTTCTCTCTGATCATCTCCACAGGTTTCTACAACAAGATGACACAAACATCATCCTCCCCTCCATTCCTGGCTCCAGGCAGACAGAAACCGTGGAAAAGGACCGGCATGAAAATCGTAAGTGGGCATCCACGTCGTGTTTTTACTGGCAATCTGACACAACCTAGAGTCACCTGGAGGCAGCTGAGCATAAATGAGTGAGCTAGTAATAGTAAGGTTCCTTTAAATGTTTGCGTTTCTGCACCGACTTCCCTCAGTGATGGACTGTGACCTGGGAAAGAAATCAATTCTTTCCTCGAGTTGCCGTGGTCAGAATGTTTTATCCCAGCAGCAGAAGAGCAAATTAGAGCCACTCCCTTTACTCAAATTAGTGTTCTGAATCCGCGGGAAGCTACCATATATTACCCCGTGCCTGAAGTCATACACAACACCCGTGCTCCTGGAGCAGCACATCTCTAGTCCCTCCAGGAAGCCAGTACCAGCTACAATTCCAATTCCATAGGCCCGCATGACACACAGAGGGGACTGGGTATACCCTCTATCCACTGCTGAGTCTCCCTCTGTCCCTTACAAAGTTGGGGCGCTCATAAATACCTAACCTGCAACACACTGTGATTTCTGGCAAGGAAGTGGATCCTGGGCATTATTCTTGGCTGTGAGAATCACTACAAGCCACAAACACCCTGAAGAAGCGTCACTGTGAAGGTCCACACCTCCCAGGCAGACACTGGTGCTATTACTCCCACTCCTACCCTAGCTTGGTTCCAAATGGAATGTATCCAAGCTCTGGCCCCACACTTCTTCACAGCCACAGTCTCTGCTCTAGGTGAGAAATTCTCCCCTACACCTGTGGTTTCCTCTGCCCCTCACATCTACCACCTTACTTCCTGCGTCCTCAAACTCCTACAAGCCAGAGAGAGATCCTAAAGACAACAAATCCCCAGACTCTAGTGCCCAGAGAGGCAAGCAGAGGGGTCTAGGTTTGCAGTCTGACCCTCAGGGTTCTTTCAATTACCCCAGCATCTCTCAAACATGTCCCTGGGCCTCCCAATGGGAGCCCCTTCTTCCTGTCATTCCTTAAGGCTCCTGTCATTAGCTTAAGGCTCCATGTCCTGTGAGACCCTCACTTAACTGCTCACTGGGTACAGGTTAAGGCCTATTTCTCAAATCTGAATTAAGTATATTTCAGCTAGCTATCTAACAAACCTGGAGAGGTTAGACTTCAGGGCAAAAGCAAGTGATCTGGCTATGTGAACTAGAGAAACGGCTACACCCCTGCTGGCTACCAAACATGATATTCCCCAATATTATACACTGAGAGGTCAATGAGAAAAGACTTTAAAATATGCAGCTCTATAACTGACCTCCGGTGTGCCCTGCCTTAGGAGAAATTTCCTAGTGTTCTGTTTGTGATTGGAAATTTGTCTCCTAACTCTTGCCTGACACTCCCAGTACACATCTGTGCTCTGTACCAGGAATTATTAAAGGAACCCTTTATCATCTAGCAGAACAGTTCACCCAAGAATTACCCGAGGAGGTGTCAACACATACCCCATCAACAGGCTCTCTGGAGATGGGCCCAGGATTTGGTTAAAAAAGCAAAACACTGACAAAACAAAAAGCTCACAGAAACTCCCAAGGCGATTTGAATGTCTGTCAGTGATGGGGAAAAGTGATGTCAGAGCCTTCCTTGGCTTGGTCTGCCGAATGGCAGAGATGATGAGAGAGGCACTTCTCAGCGTGGAGGTCCTTCCACTGTCCACCTCTGTCCTTTGGTGCCTGCGAAGTGAACATCCAGGGATTCCTGAGGAGGGAGAGGCTGGAAGACTGAAGATTCAGACCTCCCAGAGGGGAAGGGTGGTGGGCTGGTGAGCTGAGCGTGACAAACAGAAGTGTGACCAGGATGGGACATGGGGGTGGGGGGTGTGAGCAGAGAAGGATGGAGAAGCAGGAAACAGACTGTGAGCGAGCTGGGCATACTAAGAATTCCATAATAGCTGAGTGTGGTGGCACACACCTGTCATCCCAGACTTGAGAGGCTTAAGCAGGAGGACTGGCACACATTCAAGGTTAACGTGGGTTACACAGCAAGACCCTGTCTCAAAACAGTAACAAGAACGACTCCCTGCACTCCTACTTTCCTCCCCTGGCCTTGTACTAACGTTTCTCTCAGGCCCAGCTCCTCCAGATAAAGAATTCTGAATTCCATCCTAGCACTCTTGAGAAACCCCCGAGAGTTTAAGCATGACTTACCGAGTGTCCAGTGTGTTTCAGGCACCAAGGTTACACAGGGAACAGAAGAGGAACTCCTTTTCATTTAATGCTGACATCTCTCTAATGACCGAAGCTATCAGATTCAACAGAGGGACTGTAAGCCCGGAAGGGCTTCTCTTAAACCTCTCATCTCAGTTGGTACTGCTCCAGTCACCACAGCCATTTTCCTTTTTGCCCCTCAAACATACCCAACACAGTATAAAGTGCCAATGTGCTCACTGGTTAAAACCCTCCAAATGGCTTTCCGGCACCCCAGGAATAAAGTAAAAAACTCTTTCCCTTCCTTTTTTATTCTGAGAGCCTCCAGTTAACCCAGGCCTGCTCATGTGTCTCCCAATTCACTTACTGCCACTCCATCTCAATCAAGAGTGAAACCAAACCTCCTGCCTCACCACCATCCCTTTCCACTTTGACTCCTTTTCCTGCTGGAGTTCTCAGCCAAACACCACTCCCTCTGGTCTGGCAACTCCCGACCATACCATAACAGGTTATATGTATATGTCTCTATCATCAACTCAACAGTGGACAAGGTTCATTCCGGAAGGCTCAGGAACTAGCCAAGAGAATGGTTGTGGAGGAATAATGTTATAATGGTGGTAATCGCTCTCTTCCCTTTCTTGAGTTTTAGACCTAGCTATGCATCATCCATAAACAATGTGTGGGTCCCCCCTCCCCGGCACACCCTGATTTTCCATCCAGAGAATGGAATCCCAATTTGAGATTGTCCATTCTGCTTATACTAACATGGCAGTGAGGTTTACTCTTGTGACTGTGCTGACTTTGCTCATTGTCATTGCTGCTCTGTGACTACAGTTCTTTACGGCTCCTACTTCTGATGGCCACCTGGGTTATTTACAGTCTGGACCATTACAAACACCACAAATGACCCTATGAGTGCACACACACACACACACACAGACAGACATATGGACATAAACTCAATTTTACTAGAAAGGTCCAAATTGTTGCTTCCAAAGCAACTGTGGTGATGTACGTCCGTTCCCACCAACCAGCTCCACAGCTGGTACCACCAGCTTTACAAACTTAGCTAAGCTGATGGATAGGAAACAAAATCTCATCATGTGTGCCTAACACGAAAAGAGAGCAGGAAAACAAACAGCCAGAGAGAGAAATAGTTACAAAGCAAGGGATCTGAAAGTGGGGAAAGACACTGTGCTCTTTGGTCCACCAGCAAACATTGTTTAAAGTTCACCCTCTGGTGATCGAAGCGGCCTATGACCTTCCATTCTTCTTTTCCTGTGGTAGCTTTCGCCTCAGGTCATTTCTGGGGAGTCCATCCTCAGGGTGGAGCTCTCCCTCAGTTCCAGGGTGAATCGAAAACATGGGTCTTATGTATATTAACAACCCACACCCTTTGATTCAAGGAAAAACACAAATCACAAGGAGACCTAGATGAGAAAGGGGAAAATTTCTTGTGGTTTCTTGGGAACTACCAAGAGGTAAAGTCATTTGGATTGCAGTTCCTTAAAACAATCATTCTGCTATGCAAACTGCCAATCTCTTGAGAAGTACGCCAATCTCGGGAGATGAAGGGAAAAAGCATATCTTGACAGCAATCTTTCAATTCCTGTGCCCAAAGCTGGCCCTACCCTTAAACCTGTCAGTCCCATGAGCCAACAAACCCACTTTCTGCCCTTCCAGCTTGGACTTGTCCGTCATCTGTTTTGTTTTGCTTTTAAGGTGTGGGGAACCTGAACGATACCAAGAGGAAGTTACTGGGCTGAAACAGACAAACGATTTATGAAAAGAACACCAGTCAACTACCTGAGACAGGTAAGCACAATCTCTAGAACACAACAGGCCTCCAGCCTGCTCTGGAACATCACAGCTCCTCCTTGTAGCTCCTAGAATTCTGAGTAGGGAACCCAAGCCTCACCTTCTACCATCCTCTGCAATCACTCAAAGCCTGTACCAAAGAGTCCTAGTTAGCCACTTGGGGTTTCATCCAGCCCTGTGAAGTACAAGGCTAGAGTCTTGACTTTCCCGGGCTTCCATACCATCATGAAGAAATAAAGGTGTGGATTACGGAGCAATTCACAAAACAAACTGAAAGTTAGGTTCGGCAGGCATACCAGCATATATAATGTACAGCATAAAGCTACAAATACCAGCAGCAACCAAAGCAGAATGAAGATGGCTGAAATCACTGGAGCACAAATTTGGGGAGGAGAGGTGCGCTTATTTTTCACAAATTGGCTATCAGGCAGGAAAGGCCAGTTCATCAATGTAGTGGGGTTGTTATTGTAGAACAAGGTCTGCCCCATTCCAGCCTCAAACTTGCTACGTAGTCAAGGGTGACATTACACCCCTAATCCTCCTTTATCTCCCAAGTCGTGGGATTCCAGGTGGGTGCCACCACACCCAGCTAAACCAGTGTTTCTGAAATTACAAATGGTGGCTTCTTCATCCTTAAGGACAGGTTGCTTTCATATTCTGCCTCTATAGAAAGAGGAGGCAGAGTAAACCGATGCCATGTACACTTCAGTCCAGGCTGCTGTACCTAGTCTGTATTGTGAATGGGGAGATCTTGGGGTGTGGGGATCACAAACAGAAGGTATGACACAGTGGCACACAACTTTAATCCCAGGGTAGGGGGCAGAGGCAGGTGGATCTCTGAATTCCAAGCCAGGTTGGTCTACTAAGTGTTCTAGGCCAGCCAGGGGTCTAGTGAGGCCCTGTCTCAAAAATTAATCACAAATGGAGCCAGTAGACTCAAAATCCACCCATGGGTAAGTGCAACCAGGAAGTTCAGACTATTCATTTGGGGGGCGGAGAACAGAGCATCTAAGCAAGCTAACAGGGAGTTACTAATTTTTTTTTAATCAAAGTTGAGACACCTATAATAAATATTATCTCTTAGCATCTTTGGTATATGATCAATGTCACACATTATTTAACTGAAAAATATTCTTCCATGTGGAACATAAACTAAGGATATGTAAAGTAACGGAAGCAACAAATATTTTATGACAGTTGGTGTATTAGGGTTCTCTAGAGTCACGGAACTTATGGAAAGAATCTTTATATAAAAAGGGGATTTACTGGAATCAGGCTTCAGTCTAGCTAATCCAACAATGGCTAGCCATGAATGAAAGTCCAAGAATCTAGAAGTTGCCAAATCTCACAAAGTTGGGTGTCTCAGCTGGTCGTCTGTATATGCTGGAATCCTGAAGAAGTAGGCTCCAATGCCAGTGAAGGATTGGCTGTGCTAGCCAGATAAGGGTAAGCGGGCGAAGAGCAAAAGCTTCCTTCTTCTATGCCCTTCCAGCAGAAGGTATGGCCCCATATTAAGGGTAAGTCTTCCAGATTCAATGTTTGGATTAATTAAAGCAGTGTGTCTTCCCACCCCAAGATCCAAATTTAAGGCTCAAGTCTTCCTGCCTCAAGATCCACATCAAAGGTGTGTGTCTTCCTACCTTAAAGGCCCAAACTAGAAGTGGATTAACCCCCTTCAAACTAAGAGATGGCTCAGTGGGTAAAGGCACCTACCACCTGACTCTTACAAGTTGTTCTCTGACCTTGACACACACACATATGATGGTACATGCGCCCATACACATACTAAATAAACTCCTCTGGCGAGAGGAGGGATCTGGCACAAACGTATACATTCAGCCCCCAATCCTGATTCACCTTGCCTAGCTCTCCACACTCCATACTCCTTCCCTGTCTTTGTACATTCTGTTCTCTCAGGCCCAGCTTAGCCTTGAATAAAACTGTCCCTATCTCTGCCCCTTCCGAGTTAGTTCTCTACTTTTACGATAACACTGTCACACTGCTTCATAACTGATTTTCTTTTGGGGGGTGGGGTGGGTATTCTCATCCCATCAGAATGTGAAAATAAAAGTGATACTCCATCGATCTTCTTAGCTCCAGTAGCTGGTCCAAATCATGGAGTCATGTCTATTAAGACGCCATGCCCAGATCCTGAGCTCTACTGTGCTCCCAATTTTCACACAACTGTCAGATTCCCACTTCACAAGCCTGCTTCAGCAGCAGCAGTCATGAGAATTAGTCATCTTCTGCCACAGTCACCCAGATTTCCTCCTACCCACCCCTTTCTGGGAAGGTCAGCGCTCCAATACTCCATTTCCTCCATTTCCACCAATCTGGCCAAACTCTACTTCATCCTAAATGCCGATCTTAAACTAATCCTTTGCTTTCTACCAACAACTCCTTCTCCCATGTATTTTTCTTTTGTGATCCTGGAAGTGTAAGTCAGATGCAGCCTCCTGAAGCCAGAACTCAAAAGGCTCCTTCCAACCTGAGGTTTGCAGAGTTCTGCAGTAAGAGATCCAGTCTCAGTCCTACTTGCTATTCTCTTAGTAACAAGCCATCCACTATCCTTGCGCTGCAGTTTCCTTAACTCTTTTTTTCTGAGACAGGGTCTCACTAGGCATCTTTGACTAACCTGCCATTCACTATGTAGATTGTGATGGCCTCAGGTTCACAGAGTTCATCAGCCTGCCTCTGCCTTACAGGCAACCATCATTCCATCTGGCAAGACTCAGTTTCCTTACCTCTTCTTTTTTAAGTTTTTAGACTGCTTTTGTGTGTACAAGTGTTTTGTCAGTGCCTGCAGGGTTCAGAGGAGGGTGTTAGATGGCTATGAGCCACGTCAGCACCCGGTTTCCTTGTCTCTTGATGAGAGGAAATTTGAAGGGGGATGTCCTTCTGTATATATGTTTCTTTTACTGGTTGATGAATAAAACACTGTTTGACCAGTAGAGGCAGGATGAAAGGCAGGCTAGGAGATGAGGAGAATTCTAGGAAAGGCAGAGAGAGTGTACAAAGACACGCCATGTAGAGACCAGGAAGACAGGATGCACCAGGCGTTCTCTGGTAAGCCAAGACCACGTGGAAATACATAGATTTATAGATATGGGCTAATAATTAAGACAGAGCTAGCCAATAAGAAGCCCTAGCCATCTACCAACAGTTTTATCATTAATATAGCATCTGTGTGCTTATTTGAGGCTGAGACAGCTTCAGAATCCAGCAAGAAAAAAACTACAACAACAGAAATTATTTGGTCAAGCTTACCAGCTTGTTTCAAGTTTAAAAGGTGACATAAAAAAAATGTCTGAATGCCCCAAAAGTACCATTAAAAGAGGAAGGACACAGAGGCAATCAGCTTCCAATAGTCAAAGCTGCACCAATTTGAACAACAAACTGCTACTGGACTATAATCCAATGTCTAAAATCAATACCTACAAGTCTACATTGATATAATCAAATGGGTGAATGCATTAACGAAGGGGACACATTTCCCATACTGAATAATTTAAAATCCATAACCCTCTAATTCTTTAGATGAGCAGAGTGACTTCCTGCCAAATGATTCAATGTGCAAAGGAAGGAAAACACAGTGCAGAGAACCAACACACACTCAGCCAGGTGGGCAGGTCAGTGTCATCGTAAATCTTGACAACATGGAATCCTTGCTAAGGTGCTGTGGGTATGGCAACCTAACCCCATCCCTTTAATACATAAACCCAATCTTAAGAATAAGACATAAAATAGGAGGGTACCACACAAACACACGTACAGTTTACATCGTAGTATGCCTCAAAGGTCCACAAGAGAAAGGCTTGTTCCTTGCACTGGTACTACTGGAAAATCTAGGGCACTGAAGAGAGCATCACAGAAGAGGACTGTGGGACTCTGGTCTCCTCCCCCCTTCTCTCCTCTCTCTCTCTCTCTGTGTATAATGAGCAGGCATGGTAGCCCATGATTGTATTCTCAGTCCTCAGGAAGCAGAGGTATGAATATGAGCTCAATTCGAGACCAGGCCCAGACCAACAAGCACCACAGGATTGTGGACTGGAATCTCCAAAGCTGTTAGCCAAAATAAACCCCTTCTCTTTAATTAATTATCTGAGGTATCCATTACACAGTATCTCTCAAAACTTTGAAAGTTCACACAAAGTCTAAAAACTGTCACAGCCAACCAAATGCAATGCAGTAACCCAGATGAGAACATGGAAGGGTATTTTCGTAAAAAGGAATTGAAAATAAACATATGTGGACTCTGGCCGATAATCATGTGTAAGATGTTAATGAAAGAGGAGTTGGTTTGAGGTTACATAGGGACTCTACAGATTGTTTTCTCAATGTTTCTGTGAATCTACAACTGTTCTAAAAATTAAAGTGTATTAAAAATGGTAACCAGGCATTGTAGCAGACACCTGTAACTTTTAAACCAAATGTTCAAGAGGAAGAAGGCTAACATGGGTGATCATGGCCACTTTCAGACCATCTTTGGATACATGGTAAAACCCTGTCTTAATAATAATGATAATAGTGATAATAATAATTAATAAATAAGTTGCAATTTAAAAAAACATTAATGAAGGCTTGCTTTTAGAAAAGGTGTTTTGTTTTGTTTTGTTTTGAACTTAGGAGGAATACTCTAGGGACATGACTTCATCTAACAAACAAGAGGTTCAGGCATGCATGAACACATGTCATTCTTCCCTTTTTTTTGAGGCATACACAAATGGTTGCATTGTCAAACTCTGGAATGTACTAGAAATTTTTAAGTGTCTCCTCCCATTCACTCCACAAAGTTAAATTCATACACCTTTTTATTCTTTTTCTTTTCTTTCTTTTTTTCTTTTTTCTTTCTTTCTTTTTGTTTTTTGGTCTCGAGACAGGGTTTCTCTTTGTAGCCTGGCTATCCTGGAACTCACTCTGTCGACCAGGCTGGCCTTGAACTCAGAGATCCATCTTCCTCTGCCTCGGCCTCACCAGTGCTGGATTAAAGGCGCATACCATCACCATACTGTTTACACACCTTTTTTTTTCCCCCTAAAGCAAATTAGTTAGTAAATCATCAGGGAATAATACACAGCTCCAGGTACAAGTGGCTAAGCTAGTTTAACTCTGACATAGTAAATAATCCATAGACAGATGACAGATAGATAGATAGATAGATAGATAGATAGATAGATAGATATAGATAATAAATAATAAAATAAATAGGTGGAGACCTGCCTTTGGTCATGCAGGACTCCAAGCCAGCAGGTAGGACTTCATCCGGGTCCCGCTCACTTCTGGATCTGGGGACTGGAAGAGACTGGAGTAAGTCTGGGCTGGACCTGAGGAGCCATGAGCACAGCGAGCTCAGGGCGACAGGCCCACAAGCGAGCCGGGGACGCGGCGGGTA